CCACGTCCCCCCAGCCCCACGGCTCAGGTTGGGTTCCAGGGTTTCTATTCAGACTCCTGAGCAGGTGGAGTAATGTGAGTTATAACTGCAAGTGTTTCTTTTGGAAAACAGGAAATAATCTCTTTTCTCCTATTCTTTCTTTAGCTAAATAGATCTGATCCAGCAGCACATCAGAGGCAAGGTGGCTGTAGCTCCCCACTCAGTCTCATGTCACCTTTGGCACCCTGCCCCTGGGAGGTGCCCAGCCAAGACGTGTTGTTTAAAATCAAAGTGTCTGCTTATCACCAGGGAAAAATGATCTTAGTGACCTCCCTGAGTGCAGGGAGCTGCCCCCACCTCAGGCACTTGCCAGTGATGAGTGGGAGAGTCTGATCTCCCTTAATTGGGAGGGTTGTTGTCCTTTGTGATGACTATGGAGTGCTGCGTGGTGGAGGAGGAATTGTCTGCGCCCTTCTGGTTGCCTTGGTCTTTGGGGATGTACTTCACCACGGCGGAGATGAGCTTGCTGCGGAAGTTTTTGCTCAGGAAGTTGTAGAGGATTGGGTTAATCACGCAGTGGAGCAAGGTGAAGCAGTCTATGATGTCGTAGAAGAAGTAGAGGAAGTGGGCAAAGGTGCAGTGGAGGATGATGTGGTTGCCATCGAGGGTGAGCAGTGTGAGCATGATGTGGAAGGGCAACCAGCTGATGAGGAACACGACGATATAGGCGTAGATGAGCAGACAGTGCTTCCTGCTCTCGGGTTTGCTGCGCTTGATGAACCTGGCTGTCAGGATGTTGAAAACAGTGATGATGGGGAAGGGGATGAGGAACCCAATGACAGTGGTGGCCAAGCTGACTGCCAGCGCCCACTCGTCGTAGGTCTCGAAGGGAGCCATGAAGATGCAGATGGGCTCTCCGGTGTTGACCAGCTGCATGTGAGCGACCTCCAGGAAGGGGATTGCTGCTGCCAAGACCCAACTGCAGGCGCAGATGATGCGGCGGGCGCGATGCTGGTGCTTGCGCCAGAAAAGGGAGGAGCTGGTCAGGGACACATAGCGATCCACACTCAGGCAGGTGAGGAAGAAGATGCTGGCGTACATGTTGGCAAAGTAGAAGTAATGTGTGAAGCGGCAGAGGAAGCTGCCCCAGAGCCAGGTGTAATCCAGCATCACCTCCAGCATCCAGATGGGCAGCGAGAGCAGCACTCCGAGGTCGGCAATGGCCATGTTGATGATGTAGAGGTTGACCAAGCTCTTGTTGCCCCGTGTCTGCCAGTTGACCCAGATGACAAGGAGGTTCTCCACCAAGCCCACCACGAAGATGACCAGGTAAAGGATGAAGAGGATCACTCTCTTGACGTTCTCATCCAGGCTGAACTCGCAGAAAGTGTAGGTGTAGTTCAGGAGGTGGAACAGCTCGGTCCAGTTGTGGTAGTCCCCATATTCATTCACAAGAGTGTGTGTCTCGGGGGGGGCTGTGGTCATCTCAGCCATCCTGGTAGCTGCAAGGGAAGGGGAAGCACTGATTTTTGTGGCTCAGCAGCTGCACTGATCAGGACAACCTGAAAATACAGAGGAACAGCCCATCTCTCCTGTCAGAGCTCAGTCCTCGCGGGAGGCTCTGCAAGTACCATTCTGTATGGTTTTTTAATCCAGTTTTTATTCCTGTGGTGACTTCCTACATCAACCCTCAAAAGGTGCCGTATCCACATCAGGCAATAACCTCATGTCCAAGACACCAGCCACCCATGCACCCAAACATGCTCCTAGGTGGTGGCTGTCCCTTGTCCCACAGCCTGGTCAGCTGGGGATGGGGACTGGGGACAGTTGGGGATGGGGACTGGGGACAGTCAGGGGTGGGGACTGGGGACAGTCAGTGCTGGGGACCGATGGAGGGGAGGAAGGAAGGACAGGTGAGAGCGCCCACAAGCCCCAGGGCTCAGCAACATCAGTCACTGCAGAAAGAGAGCTGACAACCCAGGGGTGCAGTGACCTTCGGGCAGGACTCAACCCCACCCAGGCTCCTGCTGTCACCCTGACACCCCAGAGCTCAGGTCCTGCCACCGCAGAGCCCATGGAAATCCCAACCCCATCTCTGCCACTCTGTCCTTGCAGGCAGCAGCCAGGGAGGCGTCCAGGGAACGAGCAAGTGCCCAGACCATTAAATGCACTGGTGACCAGTCTGCTCCACTCCACACCAGTGGGCAAACCCCCATCCCCTACCCGAGCCCTTGGTGTGCGGTCACTTCACACCCCCGTCCGCCCACCCTGGCTCTGCGCGTCTCGCAGCTGTGTCACTGGGAGCCGTTGGGATTTCCAAGTAGGTGACAAAAATTATAAACTTAAGGGAAATGCAGTTGACCTCAACATCCTTTTATTGCCCCAAGTGTGAGAGCTCTGATCCCAGCACAGCTGCATCCACACGGTGAAGACACCACGGACCCCCTTCAGCTTCGTGCTGCTGGAAGAGCTCACAAGACCAGCCGTTTTCCCTGGAAAACCGGAGCAGCGTGAGGTGCCACCGGGGCATTTCTGTGGCACACAGACCCCAGCGAGCCGGGCAGTGCTGCAGTCAGATGTCCCCCTGCAAGAGCAGCAGCTCTGCAGCACACAGCTGTCACCACCCACTCTGGAACCACGGAGGAGAGGAGAGCGAGTCCCTGCAGCTCCCAGAGGATCCTCAACCTCCCGCCCTCACCAAGGTGCAGGTCCCAAGAGAGGGAGACAGGGTGGGAGAGGGGACAGACGGACACGGGTGGGGAGGGCGAGGTGTTGACTCACCGTTGGCAGAGCCGAAGCTGCGCGGAGGGTCTGCTCAGGAGCTCGTGATCCTCTCAGCACGGCGGCTCCTGC